TCATAGATTACTTTGGTCGTTCGTTGATTTCAACTTAATAAAATAAATCGCTCAAATCAATCTTGTTTTCTAAAATTATGTAGGGCTGAAAATTATATTCATTATGTTTAGTGGTCTATTGATCAATTTACTTTCTTCATTTAATTAATCTTTTTATGTAAGGTTTTGATTGGATGATAATTATATATATTACATAAGTGTAATGAAAACTTTACGCTAAAAAGGCTTTTTTAGTTGAAAGTCTGTCTTGATTTAGTAAATGGCAAAGTAAATTTGGCATGAAGAATTTCATTTTTTACCCGCAAATTACTTAACAAGTTGTTGGTGGTTTTAAGTCATTTATTCACCGTCTGGCCATGAGGTAGGGTCGGCGTAACTTTCACGTCGTTGTACATCAAAGGCAAGATAAGAGTAGAATTTTTTTACCCAGACAACCACATGGTCCTAATGGAATGCTGGGTTAGCCGGAATAGAGAGGATCATGTTCCAGAGCTATAGGAGTGAAAGGACCACTGCAATTTGACAACGGTTGGAAAAATCCATTAAAAACAAACAATCCTCTTTAATTTTTTTCTCTAGAAAGGAAGTAAATTCCCTACCCAAGACTGAGACAGCTATTACATCGTCATCAGAGCGTGATGTAGGTCTGTAGGCTACCATTTAAGAAGGGACAGTTACGGTTCTATCCGATCAACGACATACGTACATATTTCAACTTTTTTTTAATATATTAAAGACAAATACATAAAACATAAGATTTGTAGTAAAGTGAAACAATTTTTATACGAAATTAAGAACATCTTGAAGGAGAAACAATTGGGGCACAATGATTTGTAGGCTATTAACCAAGATGGTTTCAAAAGAATCTACTTCGTGAAAAACCTGCCAAGGCATTCGATTTTCTTATCGAAACCAATGGGCATGAAAATTGTGTAAGATGGTTGAGTTACTTTAGGTAAATACAACAAGCGAAGAAGTGAATAAATTTCAATCGTTCAATGTTCAAAATAATGTAACATGAATAAATTTCAATCGTCTTTGTACAACAAGAATTGAAATTTTCGTAGGGCGATTGCAATTTTTGTTCTTCATCTTTCACGAAAATACCCACTGAGGAACACGAGCGGTTTTTGTGATGTCTTGCGGATCTTCGAGTTATCTAATCGAGTCTGTTTGCGCAACCCACTCCTCGTGGAACCTTGTCTCTATTTCGGCGGCAGGTAAATACAGCGGGGGCTTAACAAGTTGGAAGTCCTTGTGGATGTTTTGGGGTGAAGTAATGAAGCCGTCAAAGGGGATTACTCATCAAGAAAAAAGAATCTTGAGACATATCAACAGTCGTAAAGCGGTAAAAACCCCAAGGACTCTATTGCCTACGCGCGATATCGAAACATTTTTTGTTAACTCATGATTCTCTTCCACCATCAAATTATTAAGTCAAGACGATAGTCGACAAACTGTGTCAAAAGGTAGCCCTGGAATATCAAGTTACTCAATTTTTGAAGTTACCTGTCCTCTTTATCCAATAGTATCAATCAAAATCATACTTTGCCATGTTGAGGTTCTTGATTACACAAATATTATAAACATTACATTATCTTCTAGCATCTTCTAACAACACTTGTCGTACTTATAAGAAATATAGGCTTACGATTGTACGTCATATTGGACAAGAAGGTCGTTCTATTGATAAGTCAAGCTTAACCTCCCAACGAAGATCTTTAGCCCAGTAAGAAATTTTTCATTTTCAAAATAACTATTAATAAAAAACTTTCTAATCAAAAGTAGCCAGTTAGGTCATAGGTCAAAATATAAATATTCGTTGTAAGAAGCACTATTGTACAGTTTCCGAGCTTTGTTAATGACTTTCCTGGAAGATTTTTGTTTCTTTAATGAGGTACAAAATTCTTTACAGGAGTGTGGCAGGGATAGGGATAAAAGAGGCGTCCACAAGGCTTTCTGCACCTCGACCTGAGTAGATCTATTGTGCTCCCCTGTTTTTTATAACTCTAGGCCAGTTTCATGTTGTTAATAGCCTTGCCAGTGACTCCTTAGTGTAGGATCTTGCTTGTGGCTTTTCCAGTCCTAGTTGCAAGAATCTGCACCTACAAAGACACAAAAGTGTTTCTTCTGTCTGTACTCCTATCGTTGTATGTGGTTTCTTATGTGGCAGTACCCTGTCAGGAGTACTACCAGAATCCTGGTTCGGTTGTGGTTGCCTTCCAGTAATTCCTTTGTAAGTTTGCGCATGGTCCTTCTATGAATCTCTTCGCGTGCCTCATGCCTGTGTATTGTTCCACTAGGTTTTGGACACATTAAGGATCTATTTTTCTCTATGCCCCGAATGCCCAGGGATGGGTAATGTATCGAGATCGACACTGCTCAAGAATGACTTTCGTGGTACCATAGCTATTGCAGGGCAGTTACATAGGAAGATACGTTCTGCTGTCTTCTGTGGACCTGGTCGACATTGGTCTATTGTTAATAGTCTCATTTTTGAAGTGATACTTACTGGACCATATCTGGGTTGTTAATTCCTTTTTACCATTGAATTTTTTTGCGAGTAGTCTCTTTGCTTACCTCATGCCTTACAAATGTTCTTTAGCACACCAAGCTCTCCAGTGAATTTTTAATGTTGTAATGTTAAATGTTATAACTTATCAACAAAATGGTATTTTCCTAGGGTCATTTTTTTAATTAGGATGTCTGTTGCATCATTGCCTGGAATTCCCTCGTGAGCTGTAACTCAGCGTCAGGCTATTTATATAAAACCCAGGTTTTTAGAAGTATTTAGGCAGTTCCACACTATTTTTGCGGTTAAGCTTGAGATGCTTGTTATTTATTTCATGTGCATATGTTTCTATGATTAGCAATTCGGCTTGAAAGATGGTTGTGATGGAGCCAAAGCCATATGGTGTTCACAGTTAAGCCACTTTTTCTTCTTTATGTACCTTATCCGTTAACTGACGTTAGTCATCATAATCGCAATGCGCAATCTATCAACAGCAGCTTTAAAGAGGGATCCAGTGCTTTGGTTGAACCAATGCCTCAGGCTTTACATCCACGAAATTCTACTACTACCAAGACTTCGTCTTCCTTCGATTTTCATAACTGAAATAATCAAGTTTCCTTACTTTTACTGTTGTGTTAATTTGTTTATTCTTCTAAGTATTTCCAAGTTAGTGATGTGTTCTTACTATTATTTTTAGCAACCTTCCATGGGTCCGCATCTAGAATGCCTCAAGCTTTTTCATAGAGACTTCTGTTAGTGACCAAGCTTCGACATATATAGCAGAGTTGAGAACAATTAGCATTGCGATAATCTTATCCTTAATCTCATATCAAGTGATCGTACCTTTTCATTTTAGTATTTTCCAAGATTGCCCCTTCTATCCTTGCTATTATTTCTTTAGAGTGGTGCATAGGTCGATGCAATGACAGCCTAGGTATGTTATCTGTTGGACCCTATCTAAAGTGACATCTACCTTGCTGAAAACCCTAAATTTAGTCTTTGTCGCACTTAGTTGTAATCCATATTCATTACGTTTTTATGACGTTAGCTCTAGGTCTGTGATCTAGGTCTTACCCAGTGGTATTACCAAACAAGGCTGCAACCCAGACACTTCACGTAAACAAATAATTTCTACTCACAAGCTTACAAATGTCGCTCCAGGTCTGAAAAGACTGAAAAAGGTTTAGTTTACAAAATGGCTTTGATATCAATACTAAGGTACTAGCAATGTACACATCCTCGTGTAAATTAGACTTTCTTTTCTTGCTTGAGGCACTATATTATTTGAACAATTACTAAACAAAACAAAAATAAGTGTAATACGAAGTTCGAAAAAAGGTAAACGTTGGTACTTATAAGCTATATTCGTTATATTTTCGAACAACAAACCTTTTATTTTACAAAATTTATTCCCAACTCAAGTATCAATAATTAATTAAAGTTAATTTAGACTTGATAATGAACTTTTGTTTACACCTTAGGAAATATTAGACAATAATCAGTTTGTATTGTGTACATTAACATAGATTATAAAAAAATGCTATTGTTTGCAAAAGCATAAACTTTTCCATAGCAATTCTGCCCTGCTAAGAAGAAATTCCGTATCTTCAACTTTTTCAACTTTGGTTTTTTACATTGCATTCTTAGGTACATTTCCTAACGAAAAATATGATAAAATCGACGCAAATCTGTCCAGAAATATTAAAAATAGCAGTTTAAAATATTTTATATTAAAAGATTTGGATAAAATACTAGTGAAAACGTATTTCTGAAATTTGACCGTAACATAAAACCTTCAAAGCTCAATTTCTTAAAAGTATCAAAACAGTAGATACGTATTTCTTCTTAGCAGGGCAGAATTACTCTAAAGACATTAAAATTATGAATTTTTACACCCTAAAATTTGTAAAGGATGGGTTTGAGAATTTTTTCAGTGATTTTATTTATATAAACTTTTATATTATATAAATTGTAGCTTTTTTTTCTCTTTCTAAACTAAGTAGGGTAGGACTAAAAGCCTGAAATCGGTGATGTTGGATTTTAATCCAATTTCTGTGTTTACAAAAAAAGGAAAATAATAACTTTAAAAAAGGAGGATACGGTTCTAAACTCCATTTTCTTTTCTAAGCTTGGAAAAACGCTGTACCTAATCGTTGGGAAATCGTTCTTCTTAGCCGGACTGGTTCAAAGGCGACCGAACTGGGTCGTGCCGACATGTTATTTTTAAGCAGTAGATGTCTTATCAGATTTCACCATTAGAGGAGGGAAAAGGGACACGATTTCCCGTTAGGGAGTGTTTGCCGAAATAAAACATCCTTGGCCTAGGACGGGCGTAACCCGGGTCGAGAGAAGTCGTGAGAGGTTAGACCGAGATTATCACCACCCTATTGAGAAAGAATCCTAGTGCTCTTTTCCTTTAACCGGGTTAAGAAAAGTCTGGGCTGGTCAGGGCTACTTGTTCCATTATAATTCGATCTTTTTGTTTTAGGGTGCTGCTGGGTGTTCTGCACACGGCTCTTTGCCTGCAGACGGGAAACGAATGTGCTCTGAGGTTAGACGGCCATGGAAGAAACAGCGCATTCGACTTCCACCTTAATACCCTCCGAGGAGGGCCATTGTAAGTACTCGATGTTTCAGATTATGTCCTTTATTCACCGGTTCTAAGCAATAGCTTTCGTTTTCTTTGTACAAGACGAATTGACTGGGGGGGATGTTAAGACATATCCTTCTTTTGCTTTATGTAAAGCACGGTCGTTTTCTCCGATTGGTTCCACAAAGTCTAAACCGAAATTGACACATGAGACACATAAAACAATTATTACTATGATTAATAAACAATCATAAAACACATTCATTAAACAATTAATGAACTATGGCAAATAGTTTTATCGGTTTATTTCAATATGAAAACAAATTAATATTTTTATGTAAGGTTTGAGTTGAAATGAAAAAGTTAGTGCCACGAGCGGGATTCGAACCCACGGCCGGTTGACATGGGAGTTGGTGTCCGAGTGGATCGAAGTCACGATAGCTCAAGTGGTAGAGGAGCGGCGTAATTAGCTAAAGGTCGTGGGTTCGAATCCCGCTCATGACATGAACTTTTTCATTTCTACAAAAACCTTACATAAAATGATTAAGTCATTGAAAGAAGTAATTTGGCCAATAGATCACGAAATATAATGGATTTAATAAAAACAAATAGTCAGGTCCATAATTCCGATAAGTTTTTGCATGGTCCAATCGCTAATCATTAAATGAATAAAAATAATTCTACAATATATTGGTTCTTCAAACCAGCGGTTTACAAGATTTTCTTTCAAATTACAATTATTAAAATGATAAATTATATATAATAAGTACAGTTTAAAGCAAAAGTTCAGCAATAAAAATATGTACTTCTAAATCCTCTTAAATAAGAACTGGTGTTTGACAGTTTTAGTCATAGTTTTAGAGCGTCAAACAAAAAAAACTCATACAACTATCAAAACCTGCTTAATTTGCATAACTCTCCAGACAAACCAGCCAAATTCCACATCATGTTCATTGATAAGAGAGGTTCCGGGACACCCGTTGCCTGGCCGAATTTCTCTGATTCTTTTAACATTTAGCTCTATCATTCTATTCCCAAATAAAGGAGATCCCGTCTGATCTATGGAATTGTAATAATTAACTGAAGGCTTAAGATTTCGACGAAGTTTGAGAAAGTTCACACGACATCCCCTCGTCGATTCGGCTGTAGGTCGGTATATGTTACAGCTTTCCTATTCCTGTATTTCTTTCTCCGCGAAGAAAAAGAAGAAAAAACTCTTCTACGTCAAGAGTTGACAGGTTGTGCAACAGTAAAAAGGGACGTGTTTGTACCTCGGAAACTAGACTTACTCAACGTGTTTCTTAAGGCGCGGGCCCGCGAATCGAATTACGGAAAGAAGATGCCACGGAAGTACATCTACAAAAAAAACCTAAAAAGCGTATATCTTTATTTCTAAAGTCACGGGGAGTTGTGCAAAATCGTTTTCTTTGCGAAAACTGTATAGCTGGATAACACGATTCCCCCATCATAAGAGGTTATCGTGCTAGCATTTGAATAAGAGTCCTTTTAAGTTTCTTCTAGCTTACAAAATTGTTAGTGCTTAAGATTTTACAAAAATAAATAAATATTAATAAAAAATAGTTTTAATCTCTCAATGTACTGCCTTTTTTGTGAATGTATTTCAACGTTATTATATATCAACTGATTGGTTTTTTTGACCAAGGATAAAAAGATAATATGCAGGATTGTATTAAATGGAATTTGAATGTACGCTCGGACACAAATTATGTACCTATGTCAACATCTGCCGTACCTATAATTTTGCCTAGTGACCGACGAGCTTACAACAATTTTAGGAAGAAACACAGTAGATATATTCTTTTTTGGCACCCAAAAAAACACATGGGGACCGCGGTAGCCGAGTGGTTATCATGAGAGACTCTCACGCCGCGGTCGTGGGTTCGATTCCCACCGTCGCCTCTGGCCTTTTTTTCCCGATAACCCCCAATTTGAACACACAAGAATTCGTACTATGGCTAATAAGCAAGATCATAAGGCCAATAAAAAAAATAATTAAAAAAACACCTCATTTCAAATGTTTGGGAAAATCAAGAAATATTTTTTTCTCTCAAATCACGAAAATAATGATAACTTTGAAATAATTCCACCGATCACAGGAATCTTTACAGTAAGTTATAACCCCTATAAACTACAGATAATAACATAAATCTGGGCTCTGCAAATAATTTAGAATAGATCAAATATATTCCAGAAATTTTTGTTGAATTCATCCATATTTTTTCAATTATAATGGCACAAAATCTAGACTGTTTCCAAGTATTGTAATAACTTCTCTCAATTAATTATTCTTTTTGTCTAAGTTCTTGGTTGAGATGAAAAAGTTATTATAACGAGCGGGATTCGAACCCACGACCTGCGGCTTAATACGCCGCTTTCACGAGCTCAGGTGGTTAGAGCAGGGGCGTTTCTGTTGCTTTCGTGAATTTCATCCATATTTTTCTTTCTTATCGTAACGCAAAAACTAATAATTTTTCACATCGGCTGAAGGAAAAATAAAGTGCAGCCTTCCAACAATCGTAATAACTCCGTTCAATTAATTATTATTCTTATCGAAGGTTTAGTTGAGATGAAAAAGTTAGTGTCACGAGCGGGATTCGAACCCACGACCTTCGGCTCAATACGCCGCTGTTCTAACCACTTGAACTATTGTGACAAGTGGTTCGAGCAACGGCGTATTGAGTCGAAAGTTATGGTTTCGAATCCCGCTCGTGACACTAACTTTTCCATCTCAACCAAGACCTTAGATAAAAAGAATAATAAACTGAAATAATTAATATGGGGTCAAATATGACCGCTGAACATATATGGAATTTTGTAATAACATTGAATTTCGATAAAACCCAGGATGGTTAGGGATGGTTAGGGATGGTTAGGGTTAGGATAGCTATGAATTTTGAAAACTGGAACACAGGACATCGACAAAATTTGCCCCCGGCTGATCCAGCTCAAATATATATGTATATTTTCGTTTGCTACAAAAATTCGTATTTAAGATAATTGAAGAGTGCTTAACCGGGACTCAAATTGATTTTTTTAGAAAACAATTTTTTATGCATAATTTATTGCACTTTTGTACCAAATGTATTTTTGGTTTATGTCCCTATATAAATATCCAATCCTGCATATTATATTTTTATCCTAGGTTACAAAACAAATCAAAAGAAATACAATAATGTATGGACAAACGTAAAGTACATACACAACAAAGACAGAAAAACTACATTATAAAAAGTATTTAAATTAGTTAATTTTTGCGCGTTTCTTTGGACCCTTCTAATATTTTATATAACCGTAGGACACGCGTCTAATATTTTACTACTTAGTATTTTTTTTTAAAATTCATTGAAATCTGTGATCTCAAGTCCGTAGCTTCCACTTGTTAGACCTCCGTTTAATAGTGACATACTCGAGGACAGATGAATCGAAAAAGTTCATTAAAGTGCCATGGCCTAAAATAACGGCACAACCTTCCTTGCCTTCCTTGTATGTGTAAGATCAGGTGTATGGTCAAACTAAAAGAAAGAAACTGCAATCTCTTGAAATTACATTTTTTAAATTTTCTTTTATACATTCACCAGATACACGTGTTACTCTACAACACTGCAGAATTCGAAGGCATGTACATGGACTTAGAGCAGCAGAAAAAAGCCATTGCCAGGAAGAACAAGAAACAGCGGAACATGTCCTCTGTTGATGTGCTATGCAGGCTGAGATTACTATTTTGGGGAGAGGAAATCTTGACAAAGTTTTGGGATCTGTTAAAAAGGCTTAACGAAGACAATGATGGAGATTGCACAATTGACCAATATTTGTCGCAGCGCACAAGGCACAAAGAGGCCGACTGCAAGTAGCCTAAACCTAAACTCGTTATTTGACATGATGTGCAAGCATGGCAGGTTCCTGCAGGTTTTTTGTATTTTTTGGGGGAATTTTGGTTCTGACAACGAACAAACCTAGCTCACGTCTTAAAACAGGTCCATTTTTCCACGCAGACAAACTCAGTGGAATTTTTTAGAGGATGTTTTACTCCCCTCAACCCGATGCGTAGTTAATAATACTTGAAGAATACTTTAACAGCAGAAATATTCCAACATCTCTCAAGGTACTAAATTTCCTGGTGCATGTTTATAGAACAGCAGTTATTCTCAAAATATAACAAACAAGAAATTTTGACCTCTAGGCAGCGCCTTAAGACGTGCAATATTGACACCTCCTGTGTCCAATTCGTTGACGTTTCAGCTGGCCTTAGCTACCATTACAACACCTCGAAAGTTGCGGTTTGCAATGATATGGGGAAACTTAATAAACCTGATCAGGTATCAGGTGCTGATCTCAAAATATTCTTTTCAAGGAATCGTTGACGGTCTGATCCATTTTATTGTGATGTCTGATGTTTCCTTTCCATAATTATTGAATCCTTTCAGCATTTTGTTTTAAGGCAGAATTTTAAGGCATCCCTCTTTATTAGACATTCTGTGACCTCTGTAGGTTTATTTATTTATTTTTTAAATTATCAAAAATTAACTTCTGGAATGTTTCAAATAACAGTCCAAAAATTAGACTTATTCCTGATCTTTGAACTATTGGAGAAGACGTCTAAAATCCGTCCAGATTTGTGGCTTAGGCCATTCATTTTTAGCTTTTTTTTAATCTTTACTCGACTAATCCATTCTTAGAATATAAATCGTGTTAATTAGCAGCAAGATTATTATATAAATTGCCTGAAAATCCCAAAAAAAGACCCTCAAAGAGGAAAAAAGATTTTCATCGACAGTCTTATAGTAACGTGATATACCATAACCAGATATTTTAGTACAATGTATTATATATTTTCTCCAATAGTTCAAAGATCAGGAATAGGTATAATTTTTGGACTGTTATTTGAAACATTCCAGAAGTTAAAATAAATACTACGAGGTTCAATCCGCATTAATTTTTGATAATTCGTGTATCAAAATTAGCTGGCCCAAAAAATTGTCTATATTTTGTTTAATTCCATTCTATTT